ACAATGAATGAATGGAATCCTAAAAAAAAAAAAAAAGTTGGACAATGAATAAAATGTTCGAAGGAACAACAAAAAAAAAAGCCGGCACTGTCCCACCTAACACCTTGGGCTGCCTCATGCAAGCAGACCTCGGACAGGCCAGAGCAGCCAAACCACAAACAGGGGTGCAAAAGGCCCCTCCCTGCTTTCCCTCCAGCCAACAGCCCTCCTCAAAGGAGAGACAAAGTACAGAGGGGAGATGGGCCCAGGAGGCAGGCCACGTGATCGTGGGCCAACAGCGGCCCCTCAGGAGAATGGGCAGGAGGAGGTGAGCGCTGAGTGGGGAGCAGAGCCTGCGAGGAGGCCTGTGAGAGATCACCTGTGGAACGGCAAGTGTGGGCACAAGGGGCAGGGGCGGGCAGGACCCCTTCCTGCCTTCTCTCTGTCACCCCCACCCCACCCCCAGGCCCCGCCTCCGTTCTAGAGGCCAGTGCTCTGTTCCTGGCGAGAACTGGACAGTCACGCTCCTCGGGCAGGGCCTCTGGCACACCTCTCCAAAGAGCGGCCTGGCCCACCACAGGCTCCTACGCTAGAGGCCCAGCCAGCACTGCCCGAGAGAGGGACAGCACAGTGGTGGCCAGTTGGAACTGGCAAGGGGTCCCCCCAAGAGAGGGACAACACAGTTGTGGTCAGTCAGAACTGGGGAGGGGTCCCCCCAAAAGAAGGCTGGCACAGCAGTGGCCCCAGGTGGAACCAGGGAGGGGTTCCCCAGAGAAAGGGACAGCATGGCAGTGGCCACAGGTGGAACTGGTTAGGGGTCCTCCCTCAGCACTTGTGCCAGCCCCTCACCCTGTGGTGACCCTTTTCTCAGCAGTGCTACTCCAGGTCAGTGGTGTCTCTGGGGGTGCAGACCACAGCAGGTGACATTGTCGGGGTGCAGGATGACACCAAAATGACTGACTGTAACATCTCGGTGCAGGGGTTCAGCAGAAAGGTATTAACCTTTTTATAAAATCATCCTTGTTTTATAAAAAAGGAAGTTATGACAACAGAAAACACTCTGTAAACTCAGCTTACAAGTATCAATACACCCAATAAGGCTAAAACTCTAGGCTAAGCACCTTCTGGAACTTTCCAATGGAACCCTGGTGGTACAGTGGGTTAAGTGCTGGGCTGCTAACTGCAGGCAAGGCATGCGCTTTGAGCCCAGCAGCCACTCCAGGGACAAGGCCGAGGCAGTCTGCTCCAGCTAAGATCACAGCCTCAGAAAGCCAGAGGGCAGTCCACCCTGGTCCTGAAGGGTCACTGCACGTCACAATGAACTTGACAGCAGGTTAGGTTTCGTGTACACTGACCAGAGTGGTCATTATTACCCAATGACAACAACAGTGTGGATCACATGGGCTCATCTGCATTTGATACAAGCACCAGCTGCTGTTTTCGTTGTTGCCGGCATTTTTCATAGTCACTGATTTTGCCAAATTTTCTAGTGTTTTAGCTACAGCACTGCGGCAATTACAACTGGGAACATCTATCAAGAACTTTTCTGAGAATGAAGTAATTATTAAAGGAAAAGGAATCAAAGACAGATTTAGTTATTAACAATGTTGTCAGTCATCCAAAGATTTTTACAAAACAACTACATTGTTAATATCCAAACAATCAAAGAAATGTAAGCAATCTAGAACCACACCTACACTATGGTTAAAAGGTATCATAAACTCCTTCAGAATTATGGTCTGGTATGGGAAGCAGCCTCGGTCAAGGTGGGAGTGGCACAAAGCCTCCTGAAGCCACCACCCACAGAAATGAGAGCCGCTCCTCTCTGGACCCAGGCCACCCTGCTGTGACCACCAGCCAGAGAGGACCTGAGACGAGGGCTGGGAGGACAGCAGTGGAGCTGAGAAGCTGGTCTCCTGAGATCATGTACCCGCTCGCTTTCCAAGTTCTCAGAGCACCCACCTCATTCTAGGCCCTGTTTTAAGGAACTAAGTATTCAGCAATGGGCAAGAGAGACAAACTTTCTTGTCTTCATGAAACTCATACTCTAGTCATTCAAGAAGAAAACGTGGAAAAATTTAGAAAGCACAAAGTGCCAAGGCAGAGAACAGTCAGGAGAGATAAAATGTCCATGCGGGATGGAGGGTGAATGGAAGAGAATTTTAGGCCAGCTGGTCACAGACTTGAAGGGACACTTTCAGGCCAGGAAAGAAGTGTAAAGGCCCTGGGGCAGGTGCACAGGCAAGCCTGAGCAAGGTCATCACCGTGGCTGAGCTGAATGGACCACGAGAGAAGCAGAGATAGAATCAGGGAAGGTGGGGGCCAGATTCCACAGGCCGTGTCTATACTAGAAAGGATTCCAGAGGCTTTCTGTGGGGCAAAGAGTCAGAGGATGGGCCTGAACAGAGAAAAGATAGGGTGTGGACTCACATTTGCTCAGGCTGCTGGTTGGAAAAAGAGAGTAGAAGGCAGACAAAGGGAGACCAGTTACTACTGGAATCAAACAGGAAGAGAGGGTATTGGTGGTGGGGATGGTGAGAAGCAACCAAGTTCTAGCCAATCTTGGTCTGTGATCACAGGTGCAGATGAGAAGGAAGCAGAGATAGGCAGAAGCCTGCTTCTTTCCCTGGGACCCAGGGTGTGGTCAACCAAATACATCCTGAGTGCCAGCTCTCGGCTAGCAGAGCTTAGGAAACTGGGACAAGACAGCAGGTCCCTGCTCCTGGGGCTGACACGGACGGGGACTCGGGTCACTCCGCAAGCCCCGTGGACAGAAGAGCTCCACTGCCAGGTCTACCTGGTTAAGCCTAGAAGAGGAAGAGGGCTGTCCGGAGGTGCCAGAAAAGGGATGGGCATGGGTGTGGGGCCGACCAGGGGAGGCAGCTGCTCCAGGCTCCACTGCGTCAGAAGCGGTGGAACGTGGACCAGGCTGCTTCCACTCCCCTCCAACGTCAAGTCCAGCACCTCAGCTCGGAAAGGCGGTCCCTGGCTGAGTAGAGCCAAGCAGCCTTCCCTCCGAATAGACCCTGCACTCCCCCTGGGCCTCTGATCTGAGCCGTGGTAGAGGCAGCAGGGAGCAAACCCACACACAGCTGCCCACAACGCTCAACCTGGGAATGGGGACGAATCAAGGACAAGAAGGTCCAGGCTCCTCTGATGTCCATTTGCTCCCCAGATCCTTGCAGCCCAGACCCCAACACACCGAGGTATTCTGGAAAGGTCTGTGAGGTGGACGTGGGTCTTGGGGGCTGGCCCAACCCTCTCAGCTCTTGGTGGTTTTCAACAGCATGAATGGGGCTGGGTCCCCAGGAGAGGACCCCCCTTCCTTCTGAGGAATCTCACCTGGGTGGAGCCCAGGCTGTGACGGGACTCGGCCGTCTGCTCTTGTTGGGCTCACAGCCTGGCAAGGCTGGGCTGGCCACTTCCCTGACCTTGCTCCTCTCCACACACCGTGGGCAGACGTCTGTCCCCGAGCTGGCCACCCGAGCCCAGCCATGCCTTCTCCCAGCCATCTCCTGCTCCTAACATTTCTGGGTACACCTGCTCTCCATGACCCTGTGGGGGTGTAGCCTTATTCCTGTCCCCCATCCCATCACCCCAGGCTGTCACTCCTTCCAGGAACAGTTGCCTTTGGGGCGGAGATGTGCAGGAATGCAGAGGCCACAGAGCTGGGAAAGGTCCTCCCCTCACTATCCGTGTGTTTGCCCAGCTCCCAGCTCCCAGCTCACCAGTCAGGGGTAAACTGGAACTCGCTCTGGGAAGTTAGCTTGCCCTCCTGGCCTGGATGCTCCCGCCACAGTCCCACCTGCCACCAGCCCTCACAAAGGTCCTTACCAGCTCCGGGCTGAAGGGCCGGCACACTCTGGATTCAGTTCCCTGGTCACTGAGACTTTTACTCAGGACCATCACCATGGTAGGGACCTCAAGGACTGGGCTCCAGCCCAGGGCGGGCACAAGCCATCGTGGGGTATGCAGACGTGGGCAGCGGTCACGTCCTGGGACTTTCCTGGGCACCTGGCATCAGCAGAAACGGCTCCCTACTGGCCTCAGACGCTTGGGGTGGGGCCCTTCTGGAACACAGCCCAGCCTTGTTAAGGCCCTGCAACACAAGAGAAAGGCAGCGGCTTGAGGAGGAGGAAAGACTAGGCCTCTGAGCACTGCCCACTGCGCACTGCCCGCGGCCTGGCCTGCTCCCATTAAAGGGGACACCTTCAGGAAGGTGTAGCAGGGGCCAGGACCACTGTCTGGAGTGTCCAGAGTTCACTCGACTCCCCCAGGCCCAGCCGCCTGGTACCTTTCACCTTTCAGTTCTATCTCAGGGTCCAAGCTGCTAGTCACCTGGGGTCTCTTATGGTGTTGAGCCTGGTGGCATCTGTCACCATGCCAGCTTTCCTGGCAGCCGCGGCACACACCAGGCACACCACTGCAGGCAGAGGGTGACCACTCCAAGACAGCCAAGTGGCGCCAAAGCCCCCCAACAGAACAGCGGCACCCCCAGCCATAACGAGGAGAGGTACCAACCCAACCCACCACCCACCAGCTGGTTCCACTCATGAGGCCCCTCCGTCTGGTTTCTTAAGCTGTAAATCTTTTTTTTTTCCTTTTCATTAGTTTATTTACAAAATTCTAATACAAATTCGAACAAATTCTTTCAACTTCCTTCACCCCCTCACCCATTAAATTTTACAACCCAATAATTAATCCCCTCTTCCCCCTGTACATCCACGTCCCTCTGTGAAGCTGTAAATCTTAATGGAAGAAGCCCATCTCTCTCCCCCGGAGCAGCTGGTAAACTCAAACCGCTAACCATTCGGTCAGGAGCTCAGGATATCACGTGCTGAACCATTAGAGCTCCTCGGTTGGGAGAACTAGTCGGTAGACAATCAACCGCCGTCAAGTTGACTGATACACGAGAATCAGCAGAACTGCGCTCTGGAGGACCTTCTGTGGCAGCGAAGGCTGCAGACCTCCAGGCCTCTCTTCCAAGGTGCCTTGAGCCTCCAACAGTCATAATCTGTGCCACCCAGAACTGCATCAAGGCCCTCACTGTCCATCATCAAAAACACCAGGCTGTTCACCAAGGGACTTGCAGCCCTTGGGTCCTTGTTGCTTTGGCCCTTGCGCAGAAAGGAGCCAAACCAAGTCAGCACCTTAGTGGGGTCTGCCCACTCCACGCCCCTTCAGCCTCCCCATGACACACAGCCCCTCAGCACCCCCTCTCCAGTTCCCACCACATCCTTGCAGCAAACAGCAAGAGCAAAGCTCCTGGGTCAGGAGTGAAGGTTGTTCCTCTGGGCCCAGCTCCCTGTCCAGCCCTCTATGGTCGGAGATCCAGAGAAAGTCACAGGACACGAGGACTGGACAACAAAGCCAGGGCAAAGCTGGACCTCGGCTGCCACTCTAAACACTGTTCTGTTTGGGGAAAAATTAAAAACCAATCGCACCCTGGTGTTTGCCTGTCGTCCGGAGTGTAAATCCTATCTTCCTGTTTACTTCCATTAGACTTTGCAGTGGGAGCTACCAAAAATGCTCCACTACTGGCCAGCTGGCAGGCCCGAGAGAACGACTTTCCACTGTTCTTCGAAAACAAGTTCATGCAAAGTGCACACGCAGGGAAGGGAGGAAAAAATCAATGCATTCTCAAAGGATCGACTGTTCAGGCAGGGGCGCTGACGAGACGGAGGCCCCCAGGCCGCACCAAGGACCCGAGGCCCAGCTCCAGCCCAGCTTTATCTAGAAGTGACACATCGTGACCAAGCGTGACCTGGTCAAGGAAGGAGTCGCCGTTCTGGCCAGAAATGCCCACCGTGGCAGTGTCAGAAGAGGACTCTGGACCCAGCCCTCCAAAGGGGCCTCAGTGCCACCTCAGTGGTCATGGGCAGCATGACAGTTAATGTCCTCTTTCTACATGTTGGACTCAGTTCCATTCTGAGGGCTGAGGGGGGTCTACCTGCCCCCTTCTTCCTGCAGGACGTAGGTTTGCTGGTGACAACTCAGGTCCCGAGTCAACCTGAGTTGAGCTGGAATCTCAGTCTGGAACCAGTGGGTGACCTCTTTCAAGTCTCCCATGTTCTGAGCTTCAGGGACAGAGTCCCTTTCTCTCCCAGCTCACGGAGCAGGTGGAGGCCTGTGCTTAGAGCAAGCTCCTCCTCAAATACTCAGCAAGAGCTGCCGTTATCCCAGCCAAGGCAGAGGCTGTGGGGCCAGGAACTGTCAGTGGCAATTTGGTGCACAAACATCTGCCCACTCAACTCTTTCTCAAAATGAACAAACTTAAGTCCATCACAAGGCACCGGATAGGTAAGGTCCACCATTCCCATGGCTAAGTGCCCAGCCAGGAAGGATCCTGCATGTCTGTCACCATGGAAACAGATGACTATCCCCTGCAGAAACACTGCTTGGGATACTGTATGAAGCTGGTTCCAGCCCCAGCAAGCACCCTAAAAAGGCAGGCACACAGAGGCAGCCCTGTGGGTGAATACCCGAAGCTGCTAGGGGCCAGCAAATGCCCCGGGCACCACAGAGAGAGAAGGTACAGTCCACTCCAGCACCATCTCAGGAGCGGCAGGAGATGGGTCTGCACACATTTACCAGGATGACACAGAGTCCCTACTCAGGCAGGCAGAGGTGGGCTAGGGTGGGGCTCCCAGGGGCACCCAGCCCAGACACAGGGTGCACTGCTGGCAAACATTCAGGTAGGGACAACCTGGATGCCCACCTGCACGGAGCTGAGTGAAGAGGCCTTGCCAGTTACCGATCACTCTGCAAGAGAATGCCATGCTGTGGCAAACATCATTTGAATGTGGAGATTTCAACTGCACGGCTGACAAAATCTCTCTGAGACGCAGGAGGTGAAGACAGCAAGGTCCCACGTGCAGGGTGTGCTCCAGGGCCCTGGAGGCAAGAGATGGGGCACAGACACTTTCCAATGTGCCGACTTGATGCTGTTTGGTCCTTTCACCCTATCCCTGCAATACTTTCTAACAAAACCCCACCAACCAAACAAAAGGAGACACTGTTACACCAGGAAGGGAAGCAGCCTCCAGGCGAAGGGCACATAACACTGGTCTGGTGGAAGCCAGGACGCTGGTGGGTGGAGCCCAGATATATGCACAGGCTGGAGAGGGACAAGGACCTTCAAAGGCAGGTGCAGACCAGGCTGAGGCATGGGGAGCCAGGCCACAGGGGGCATCCAGGCGCAGCTGCAGGGGCTCTGGAGGGGCTGCCCAGGGCTGTGCAGAAGACAGAGTTTATATTTTGAAGCATGTGCGCTACCAAGAATGGCGTCTTCATGAAAGTGCAACAGATGTGCCTGGAATCTGCCTGAAGCACAGCAGCATCTGAAATGAGCCTCAGATCTGGGGAGACTGATCCAGATCCCGTCCTAGGACCCAGTAGAGCCTGGAATTCCTTCAGAATCCTACAGCTGGAGGCCTGCGCCTCACCAAGGTCACCAGCGGTGCCAGCGCCTGGTCGGAAAGGGGGCAGGGTCTCCCTGGGGAGGAGCTGGCCCATCTTTGAAGGGCGAGAGTTCACACAGCCCTCCTGCAGGCTGCCTTCTGGGCCAGAACCTGCTGCGGTCTGCGGGAGTCTCCACTCAGCTCTCCCTGCATCTGTCCTGACCACTGTGCTGGTTTGTTATGCTGTGACACGGGTCAAAGTTGACAGCCTAAACTGGGCTTCCATTCAACAATCCATACACACTTTAATTTATGGCACTTACTGCACCCCCACAACAGAACAGCCCCCTCCCACTTCCACCTTGTGTGTCCCGTTTCTAAGTGTCTGTCATTCACCCTCCGATAGACCTCCCTGACTTCTGAATGTTCTGCACCGTGGCTGGCAGCTGAGTGGTGGGGACGAGCCCCTGGGCTTTTAAGATCTACCTACACAGGAGATAGGTGACAAGAGCACCTTGCAAGACTAGACAGGAACTGCAGGAACAGCAAGATTACGTTAACAGGGACAGAAAGCTCAGAGAAGGTGGGGAGGCCGCACAACTTGGAAAACGTTCTCGCTGCCACTGAACTGTATCTGCAGAAACCACATTTTCTGCTATGCATACTGTCGAGATGACAAAATCAAATTCTTGCAAGAACAGTCTCATTCCTGAGCACCATGTGTCCGGCACACACCTCGGTTCTCAGGGAGACTCCTACTCCACTTGACAGACAGCAACACGTGGATGTGAGCTCAGGAGCCCAGCTTTCAGGCCCAAGCTCCCCAAAAGGGTCCACCAGCAGTAGGATGGCCCCTCCTTGCCTCTACACCACAGATGCAACCTTCAAAAGCCCGTGTGACTCAGGAATGATATCCTGGGCATTCATCCCAGAGTGAGGTCCACAGGAAAACTTAGAGGAATGTTCAGTGTAACCGTATTCCTAAAGATCCTGGAAACCACCCAAACGTCCTTCAACAGGTGAATGGTTAACCCGTGAGCCACCACCACCACGGAGACAGGAGCCACTGCACTTGGCAGTGAAAGGCAGGCAGCTATTGAAGGGTGCAATCAGGATCAACTTCCAGAGAATCATCCACCCCAAGTCACTCCCCAAAGTTACACACTGTCCTTTAGACAAACACCCTTCTCAGAGCTTAGAGGCCGCCAGGGGTTCAGGGAGAGTGGGAAGGGATAGGAAGTGGGTGCGGCCACTAACAAGGCAGCAAGGGGCGGCAGGTGTGAAGTGCAGAAGCGCTGTTGTGTCACTTGAGCATGTCAAGGTCAGTTTCCTGCAATCACAATTTTGCAAAATGTGACCACTGGGGGCAACTGGGTAAAGGATACCAAGATCTCTTTAAGATTTCTTCCACCACCACATGGATCCAGAATTAGCTAAAAGTAAAAAGTTTAAAAATAAGAAAAAGCAAAGGGTTCACTAGGTCTATGCATCTGTCAGAATTCATAGGGTTCAGTATCAGGAGTGAACTGTACCGCAAACAGAATTTCTTTTTCAAAATAAATTTCTTTACTTAGATGAATGCCAGCACCTGTGCCGGGGAGACAATGCCCGACAGCTAGGACAGAATGGACCGTGTTGTGGGACAGGGCACCGGCCTTCGCCCTCTGCAGGACCCTGGACCCCCATTTCCTCATCTTTCATCTGGGCTGCTGGAGGTTAAATCTAGACGTGCAAAGGAGAGGCCCAGCCTTGGGGACTGTTCTCAGCACTTCTCTGTCGGCACCACCCTGGTGTCCCGTCTGGGTCCTTGACCAGTACTCAAGCCTGGACTGCCACTTCCATCCTACCTGTCCCAGGCCCTTAGCAGCGCTCACAGGAGACAGAGGGTCCTGTGCCAGCCCCACACTTGGGGCTGCTTAGAGGAGGGCTTCATGAGAGCCCACCAACAGAGGGCTTTGGCCCCAAGTGCATTCACCCCACAATGCCCGCTTGACTGAGTAGAAGTCACTTCACTTGTCCTGGGACCCCAATGCCTGACCACCCCCTCAACTTGGCTGATGCAAATGACCAGAGCCCCCCAGCCCTAGTCCTCACCTTGGGAGTTTCAGGAGCTCTCCTGTGTACCTGACTCATTTTGTCTCTAAGACGAGTCCACAGGCCTTCAAAGAGAGGAGGTCAAGAGAGAGAGGCTCAGGGGCTACTGCCTCTGCCCCACGACCCCACCCTCTCTGCCTGAGCACCAGCCACAGCTGGGCTTGTCAATCTGTCCTGTCATTTCTATGAGGCAGCTCATGCTCCAGGCATATTCCCATTTTCCAGATGAAAAGACTGTAGCTCTAAGAAAAGAAATCAAGTCAGACTTTGCCTGGGATCCTACAGAGTAGGCAGCACAGAGGCTGAACTTACAAGGGAACATCCCAAAGCCACGCGTCCCCTCTGCCACCAAGGGGAGAGCCACTGCTGAAATGAAAGCTCCCCTGCTTTTGCCCTGCAGCACCCTGGGGTGGGCCAGTGTTCACCCTAGAACAAAGCTGTCTGCTACACTGTGGTCTTCCACTCTCGGTTCCAGCAGATGAAAAGCCCAAGTCCCCAGCTGCCAAGGAAGGCCGCATGCAAAATGAGTCAGGTACACAGGAGAGCTCCTGAAACTCCCAAGTTCTCTCCAAATCAGAGGAACGCGCCCACGTCTACCAGAGGCCTCTGTGGTCCACCTTGAAAGGCTTGCCCTCAGAAAGAAGCCACCCACCCTGGGAGCTGTCATGACGACCAGTGTACCTTCTGGAACGTTCTTTATTTGGCCTGCATTTGCTGCTCACAAGCTGAGGACAATCTCACCACCTTAAGCACAGAGCAAAACTGGCCCAGGCCCTTGCCTGCGAATGCCTGAGGCCTCCAGCCAGCCATTCCTCACAGCCTTCCCTGCGTCTCCCCAGGCTGAGGAAGTGGGAGGGAAAGAGCCGCCCTCCAGGGTCTGGGGAGGGCCTTTTGCACTTCCGGCTCTCCTGGGCTGTGGGTGTGACATAATCAGTGCACAGATCTAGATTCACTTGGTGAACCTTTGCAGAAGTGCACTCTGAGGGCCACTCTGACAGATGCTGAGACAGCCCCAAAGCACGAGGGATGGGTGAAAGGGGCCGCGGGGAGGCCCCAGATCCAAGGTTCACATCTGCTGACTCTGGAGAGTTTCATCTGCCAGGAGAGGCCCTTCGCTGGCCATTGCTGTAACCAAGTCATCTATCTGAGTCTAAAGGATCAATGCTAAAAGCGTCCCAGGAACCTTATCCCAGACCTAGGTGCTACTGGAAGGAAAATTCTGGATTCTGAACATCAGGACATGTGTCGAGAACTAGTGGTTTGCAGGACCAGCAGGCAGAGTTTCAGTGTGTCTTGTGTGGAGTCATTATGAGTCAGAAGCAATCCCATGACACCTAACAACAAACCCTGCAGGGCACACTGACGCCCGCCCTCAGCCAAATGGCCCATCCACAAGTGCTGCTTTAGGGCAACTGAAAAGAAACCGCCTTCAACAAACGGGGGAATGATGGGTGTCCTGCTGGCATAACCAAGAAGCTGCTTCAAACCGACCCAGCAACTCAAGGGAGAATGATATGACAATCTGCTCCCACCGAGACTGCAGCGCAGAAAATCCCACACGCCTTTCCACTCGGCCACATGGGTGTCCACAAAACCACTCAGTGCTGCTCGTAGTGGTGGTGTGCAACCCTGAGTCAGAAGAGCTCCACAGCTGACCCTCCACTGGGTTTTCAGAGGCAGTTAATTGCACAGAAGACTGCCCATCTTTTTCTCGCTGGTGGCCTCAAACTACATACCTTCAGCATTGCAGCGCAGCTTCTTGCCATGAGGCCACCAGAGCTCCCTGATTCAATGGTAGCCAACAAGAAAAATGAATGCTTCAATGCCAATGCTAAGAACGTGCTCAACGCTGAACTTCAGAGCCTCAGAGGTGCCTTACTAGAGGCTGCACCCAGAAGTTTGTGCTTTTTATGTTTCTAGTTCTGCTTGATCTGAATTTGCAAAAATAGTCACCTCTCTACATAGCATGAATAAGACAAAAACCACCACAGTAACGTACATGGCATGGTCAGAACCTCCAACAAGCGGACCCTCTCATCAGCCCATGTGGAGTGGAGGACTGAGATCACACATTACGAGGGACAGAGCAGGGACCTGCTCCCAGTTGCTCAGCTCTGACCATTCTCTGCCCCTTCTGCTCTGGGTCCCTGAGGTTGGGCAGTCTCAGGACACTTGGGTCAAGGTCAATGGCTGCAGCTGAGGCGCAGGCACCAGGTGAGCTGTAGATGCCCCCTGGGGCTCGACGTGGGAACACATGCTCACCCTGTACATGGGTGGGCAGAGGAGGAGGATGTGGGAGGGCGGCACAGCCCCCCGCCCCATCCTTCACCACAGGATGTGCCGCTGTGCTGGGTGCAAGGCAAGGGACCCCCAGGAAGGCCGCGCACTCCCAGGCCTGGAAGGAGTCACCCTGGCGTGTGCTGCCCCAGCTGTAATCCAGGTAATCCATACAAGCCCATCTCCCCAGGCCTCTGGACGCCGTCTCAGCACCTTTCTCTCCAACGCCCAACTCCAGCGTCTTAGGGAAACCCTCTCCTTCATCTAAGCAGCCTGGAAGAGCTGCCTCTGCCACTTTCCAGGTCCACTTCCCTGAGGACAGGCCCCCTGACGGGGAAGTCTGCAATGACAATAAACCTGCTAAGGTGAGAAACGGCACCGGCCTGCGAGTCTGGGTCCAGCTCCGTCCCAGCGGTCCAGGGGGGCCTGGCCTGGAGCCCTAATCTGGCTTAGTCTCCTCTCTTCTGATGTGTCAGTGGGAACCCCAGTTCAGCCTCTGAGGTGAAGGGGGTACCGCCGGCGAGGGTGGCTGGTATGGACCTGTCCAGAACAGCTGGCATCCGTGGCGGAGCCTCACCCACAGCAGAGTAAGCCCCATGAGAGGCCGGTGGCAAGCCACACTCACCCTGCTTCACTGAGGCAGCATCAACTCCAGGGCAGGGACCATGGGCCCGAGTCCGTCCACTGGGGCCCTCAACTCCCAGATGGGAGCTAACAGGGATGAGGGCCACCCTCTCCTACCACAATACAGCCCTCTGTCCTTCCCGAGGGCGGCACACCCAGCACCAGAGCAGGATGTGCCCATGGATAGCGTTTTCTTCTGCAACTGGTGTGAACACACCCGCCTAGGCCAGACCTCCTGAGAACAGGCCCTGAAAGGCCCGCAGAGGGGAAGGGCTAGCAGAGGAGGGAGTTTCTCAAGGGAATGGCTGGAAAGGGACTGGGCTTATCTAGTGCTCCGCTAACAACAATACCACAAGTGGGTGGCTTTAACACACAGAAATTATCTTCTCAGAGTTAGAAGGCTAGAAGTCCAAATTCAGGGGACGAGCTCAAGGGGAAAGCTTTCCCTGCTGGCTCTGGGGGGGAAGGTCCCTGTCTCTTTCCAGCTTCTGTTTTCCTGGTTTCTGGGAGGTGTCTCTGGAGCCAGGCAATTCTTTTACCCCAGCTCGGTGGTTTTTCCTGCTTGCTTAATCTGCTCTTTTATATCTAATAAGAGACTGATTTAAAACACACCCTACACCATTCCGACCTCATTAGCATAACAAAGACAAACAGGCTTACGGCCCCAGGTATTGGGGTGGGGGGAAGGTGTTAGCATTTACAGCACAGCTCAGAAAGGACACAATTCCACACACAGCTGCCCAGCCTTCTGACGACTGCTCTAACCAGGAGGAAAACCTAAGAGGAAGACAATCTGCTCTGCCCTCTAGGAGTTTTCAGTCACTCTCACAGTTTGGGAGAGATTTCTGCCGTTTTCTTAAAAAGCAAACAGCATCTCAAGAGGAAAGGGCAGAATGGCCTGGCTCAGGGACCTGAACGTGAGGATTCAAGGCCAAAACAAACCTGGACACAGGAGCGAGGTGGCCCACGCTGCGGCCTGGCACTGAGACAACTGCGCTCATGACTTGTCAAGAGCACGTTACCAACGAGAGGACCCGGAAAGGGGTTTCCTACAGGGACCCCGGTGATTGCTGCTGCCTTCCCTGCCGCTTTAGCCGACAGTCCCAGTCCCGAGAAAGTTGAGCTGGCTGTGCACAAGAATTGTGAGAAAGAACCGTGGGAGCGCAGGAGGTAAGCGCTCCAACCCTAACCTTTCAAACCCACCTGTGTTCTGCGCGAGAAAGGCACAGGCGGCCCGAGACCACACCCGTGGAACACATGGGGCTTCTCTAGCCTACAGCGTCACCCTGGATCAGAACGGACTCAGCAGTTAGTGACAGAAGTACTGAACAAACGTGAACAGAAGTAAATGAGAGGAGGGAGAAGAGGTAAAGGAGAGAGCAGAAACAATACTTACAGAGGAAGCATGGGGCGTCTCCCTGCCCAGACCAGGGGGAGGGAAGGAACAGGCAGACAGAGAAGCAGAGGGTGGCAGGACACAGCAGGGGCCCACGAGGATAATCCACCGGCACACTAAGCCACTTAGCCTAGATGGCCATGACCCGCTCTTCATCTATTTACAGCACACCAAACTTAATCAAGTCACCACTAAATGCCGAAAACAAGAGGGAGAAGAGTTCAGAAACCGAACAAAACCTGCGAAGCTCCAACAAAAGAGCACCGTGCCCATGGAGCAGGCCCCAGACCCAGGGCTCTGGCCGGGCTCTGCCTCTGGCAGCTCGGTCCAGCCTGCCAAGTCCCGTCCTCCTCAGGCCTCTGTCACATGGGAGGCGGGGCCAGATGACTGCTTTGGGCCCAAGCCCGGGCCAGCTGTGCTGGCTCTTCCAGCCTCCTGTCCTCACCTGTCACATACAGACAGATGGGAACTCGCATTAAACTACTCCCAGCCTGGACTGGATTTGTGAACTGTGAGGAAGGCCACCACTCAGGTAGGCCAAGTCGGGCTGCCCCATTCACTCAATCCTGGCCGCAGCCTTCAAGGCGCTGGACAGGAACAAAGGCCAAGCCTAACTCCCGCCATCAGCAGATGGTCTGCAGCTTCCCAGCAGCCAGGCCAAGAGGAGGAGGCCAAGAGCTTGTGTGCCCATTTCTCAGGAGCAGTAGTAAGTATCTAGAGGCTAAACCAAGGAGAGGCTGCAACTCTCCTCTCCATCAGGAATGGCAGGGCAGAGGAGTTAGAAGGGAGCTGTGCTGCCCCTCCACAGGCCATGCCTCACTGGCCATTTAAATTCACCAGCAGCAACTCTGAGGGAAGAAAAGTGGGCCACCACCTCCCATGCAATTCAGAGCCCAGGAAACTCACCGGAACGTCAGCCATGAGTAGGTTCCGAAAGGAGGGCTTGTGAAAGCCCAAGTCCCAAACACCTGTGTGGTAGGGGTGAGGTAGATGCACGTGACGTCTTCCAATGACACCAACTGTGGCCAACTCTTAAGTGTCAAAGCTGAGCTGAGAACACTCAGGTTTCAGCCTGGAACTTATCCGTCTTTGGTCCTTTACCAAGGATTTTTCCAGTGCTGAAGCTTGACGGCACAAAGCTGAGCTGAGCCCGACAGGATTTTCCCTGATTCTTGGGAAAGCGGTAACCAGGGCTTTCTTTCGAGCTGCCTTTGGTAGACTTAAACCCCAAGCCTTTCAATTATAATTGTTGTTATGTGCCGTCAAGTCGCTTGCGACTCATAGCGACCCTATGTACAACAGCCCTGAAACCTGCTCTATCCTGTGCCTATCGCACTGCCTCTGACACACCCATTATGATTACCCCAGTCACTGAATCAATCCATCTCATTGAGGGTCTTCTTCTCTTGTGCTGTCCCTTCACCCTTCCAAGCATGACATCACTCTCCAAGGACTGGTCCCTCTTTGCAACATGCCCAAAGTATGTCAGATGAAACCTCAGAATACTTGCCTCCAAGGAGCAGCCTGGCCTCAACCTCTCTAGGATAAACCTTTTTGTTTTCCTGGCAGTCCATGGTATATTCAATACTCTTCTCCAGCACCATAACTCAACGGCATCAATTCTCTATCATCCCTAGTCACTGTCCAGATTTCCAACGCACAGCAAGTAATTGTGAAGACTATGGACTAGATCAGGTACACCTTAGTCTCCAGACTGACATCACTGCTCTTCAGTACTCTGGAGAGGTTCCTAACAGCAGACTTTCCCAATGCAATTTGTCTTTTGACTTCCTGGCTGCTGGAACCAAGAGTGTTAATTGTGAAGCCAAAGAAACCTTTCAATTAGCAGCTGAAAATATGAACCTAGAGCACTTTCAAAAGTGGCCCACCGCTATCAAGCTGATTCTAGCTTACAACCACCTTCTACCCTCCAACGGGCTTTGGAGACTGAAAATCTTCATGAGAGCAAACAGCCTAAATTTTTCCCATGGAGCAGTTAGTGGATTCGAACTATTGACCGATCAGTTAGCAGTGCAACCTGTAACACACTATGCCACCAGAAGTCATTGTTGTGGTGGTCGAGCTGGAACCAATTCCTAGCTGACACCTGCGCAGGTGTTCAGAAGCAGCAAATCACACTCTGAAAGGAGGAGACTGCTCATCCTTCTCATGTGGATTCGAACTTCGTACCTTTGGGATTGGAGCTCAGCTTCTTGCCACTAGGCCACCAGCGCTCCCTTAAAAGTACTAGAACCTTCTGGATTGGAGGCGCTTCCTAGAGACAGAAAGGCACTAACACTAGTTTTCACACCTCCTTCTTCATCTCTCACTTCCTGCCCCTAAGGAGATCCTCTTTTTTCCAAAATATCATGTCCCTGAGCAGCTACAGTGTCTCCTCCCTGCCCCCAACACAGGCTGTCCGGCCGGTGTTTTGTGTGTGTGTGTGTGTGTGTGTGTGTGTGTGTAACAACTCTGGCAGGCAGGGGACACCTCAGGGTCACAGGGCGGCTCTCCCAGACCCAGCCTGGGATGCAGCAATCGCTCAGCAAATGGAATGTAGGACACAGCTGAGAGCAGAGTGACCCCTCATCCTCTAAGACCGAGGGCCCCACACTCTGTTCCCGGACCATGTCAGAGGTGCCACACAGACACTGGAAGCGACACGGGAGGGGAACCACTGCACCGTGAGGGCAGTTCCAGACACAGGAGCATCCAAGTCTGACATCTGGCCCCACTCAGACTTCACACTCCGACTTCACTCTCCTAAGTTAATCGAGTTGCCAAGCTGCCTCACAGGGCTGGTGCAGAAATTAGTCAGACGGGTTAGCCAGTGACACCCCTAAGCCTCCGCCCCTGCGAATGTGGTCAGCTTTGTTCCCACCTCCAGTCACCACAGCGCCATGGGACAGAGCTCTGCCCCAGCAAGGGCCTTGGACGCCAAGGTTCCCTCAGATTAAATCCCCAAAGCCATCTACCTGGTGCTTGCTGGGGGAGGGCTGCAAGGCCAGGGGGCTCCAGAACGCTGCCTCTGTGCCACCTGCCACAGCCCAGGTGGGAGGTCCTGAATGAGCAGGCCCTGTCGGCCTGGCAGAGGATGCAGCACCAGGCTCCACTCCTCAGACAAGGAGGCGTGCGAGGAGGAAGCCTGGACGGAGGCCTCAGTCAGAGCAAAGCTGTCTTGTGCTGGGCATTCCTGGAGCCCAGGGAATGGGCTTTTCAGGGCCCAGCGCTAACTGACCTTCAGCGCCTACTGTTCTGTTTTTGGACAAACTGGGGCTAGGAAGGGTGGGGCACCTCATTTGCAAATAGGTCTCCACTTCCTTCTTATACAAGCTGATGCACCGCCCATCCTTATTCAGAGCAGAGACCTCAGCATTGAAGAGGAAATGGTGCGCGTGTACACACACACACACACACACACACACTCACACACTCACTCACTCACTCACTCACTCTCTCTCTCTCTCTCTCTCTCTCTCTCTCTCTCTCTCCAAAGCCTCCAGAACACTTCCACTCTTGCAGAACTAGCACAGCTGTGAGCAAAACCCCAGAAGCAGTTAACCCAACTTGCAAGGGGCTGGGGGCAGATCATCTATCTACGCATCAGGAAGGGCCTCTGCAGCAGAAGGAACAAAGATGCATTCTACTGTTTGCCCAGAGTGGACCCCAAAGCACTCGACTAGCTGCCAGTCTCGCCAGCTGCTGCCTTGTTGTTGGCGACTGTCTTGTTGTCACTGTCCCACCAGTGAGACCACTGGAATTGAGTACAGGGCTGAGTCCCTTGCTCACAGGACGGTCAGCGACAAGAAACTCTGCAGCCAGGGCCCTAGCACCCACCCCAGTCAGTGCGGGCCGTGGACCTTCAGAGGACAGAGGCCTCTGGGCCGAGCAGTGAGGAGCACGTTAGGCATCCGGGAAACATACTCAATGTTCTGGAAAAGGTAAAACTACAGGGACTGTATGGTGGCCAAGGAGGGAGGGCAGAGAGGAGAAGGAGGAGGAGGGAGAGCAGAGAGGAGGAGGGAGAGCAGAGAGGAGGAGGGAGGGCAGAGAGGAGGAGGAGGAGGGAGGGCAGAGGAGGAGGAGGTGGAGGGAAGGGAAAGGGAGAACTGGTCGTGCCTGGGACATTTTTAGGGCTGTGACGTCATTCCGCATGATACTCTAACAGTGGGCAGGAGGCACTGTGCATTTGTCAACACACTCAAGAGAGTCCAAGGCAAAGGGTGAACGAACCCCAACGTAAACTATGAGCTTTGCTGCTGTTACCCAGGGCCAGTCCATCAGCGCCAACCCACAGCGGTCCTGTGAACAGAGGAAGGCGTCGCTGCCTGGTCCGGCACCCTCCTCACAACCAGCACCACGTGGGAACCCTTTACTGAACTCACTGTGTCAATCCGTCTTTCTAGAATCTTCTCTGTCACTGCTCCTCCACTCACCAAACATGTGGTTCTCTAAGGACTGGTCCTTCCTCATAACATGTTCAACACACCTGAGACAGTCTTGTCATCTTCACTTGTAAGGAGCATTCCACCTGAACTTCCTCGAAGCCAGCTTCATCCTAAGTCTTCTACAGCAGAACTGTCCAGTGCAGTCAATGCTCCGCTTCATCTCTTGGCTACCGCTTCCATGGGTGCTGGTTGTGGATCCAAGTAAACAAATATTTGATGATTTCACTCGTTTATCATGTTTCTGCTTACTGGTTCAGTTGTGAGGATTTTTGTGGGATTTTTGGTTGAGGTTTAATCCATACTGAAACTATTATTACAGTTAAAAATAAGGAGCCCTAATGGCCTCGAGGGTAAGGAGTTGTGCTGCCAACCCCGAAGGCAGGCAGTCTGAATCTAACAGCTGTGCCTTCCTTGAGAGAAAGATGGGCAATCTCCACCTGCACAATTTACAGCTTCTACCATTCAGATATATGCACCAACAACCAGAACCAAAGAAGAGGAAATAGAAGATTTCTACCAACTTTTTAAATTTTTTTTTTATTAATTTCAATGAACATCTACAGAGAGTATGGAATTCCATTCCTTCACTGTTGCACTTTTCTCCCCCCCACCCTCAGTTTGCTCCTCTCCTTGAAAAGCAAAAGAAAAATTCCTTCATTGGTACACAATCCCTCCGCACACCCCCATCCCCACCCCAAATACACTCCACTCTGCAACCCTCATTCCGGACTCTTATGATTTCTACCAACTTTTACAGTCAGAGATCGATCGAGCATCCAATTAAGATGCATGGATAATAATGGGTAACTGGAATGCAAAACCTGAGAACAGAGAAGAAGAATCAGTAGTCGGAAAACATGGACTCGGAGACAGAAATGGAGCTGGAGATAGAATGATTTAAGTTTGCACAATGACTTATTCATCACAAACACATTTTTTAAGAGACAAACGCAGGTTATATACATGGATCTCACCCGATGGTATGCATAGGAATCAGATCAATTACATCTGCGGAAGGAACCACTAGAGAAACTCAATATCAGCTGTGAAAACTAGGCCAGGAGCTGATTGTGGAACAGACCACCAACTACTCATATGCAAGTTCAAGCTAAAGCTGAGGAAAATTAAACCAAATCCACGAGAACCAAAATATAACTTTGAGTCTATCCCACCTGAATTTCAGAACCATTTCAGGAACAGGTTTGAGGCCTTGAACACGAATGAGCGAAGACCAGATGAGTTGTGGGAGGATATCAAGAATATCCAAGAAGAGTGCAAACATTCATTACAAAGACAAGAGGAAGAAAAGACCAAAATGGATGTCAGAAGAAACTCTGAATATTGCACTGGAGCGCAGAGAAGCCAAAGCACAACAAAGGTTTCAAGATACCAAAGAGCTGGACAGAAGATTTCAAAAGGCAGTGCGGGATGACAAAGTAAAATATTACAATGAAATCTTCAAGGAGTTGGAGTCAGAAAACCAAAAGGGTCAATTCGCTCAGCATTTCTTAAGCTCAAGGAACTGAAGAACAAATTCAAACCTAGAGTTGCTATAATCAAGGATGCTTTAGGCAGGGTATTAAATGATCCAGGAGGTATCAAAAGAAGATGGAAAGAATATACTGAGTCATTGTATCGAAAGGAATTAACAGACAGAAGAATTTAATGAAACAACATATGAGCAAGAGCCTATGGTGATGAAGGAAGAAGTTCAAGCTGCTTTGAAAGAAATAGCAAAAAATAAGGCCCCAGGAATAGATGGTATACCAACTGACATATTTCAGCTAACAGATGCTGCCCTGGACATGCTCACTAAGTTGTGTCA